CCCCAAAACCCCAAAACCCCAAAACCCCAAAACCCCTTTTAGTAGCAAAGTTTGAATAATTCTCAGATACCTAATGCTTGATAAATGTCCTCAATACTTTATCTAAAATGTTGACATATAAATGTTAGGAAAGTGTTCTCCAGCTGAAGCTCATGGAAAATCAAGGAAAAGAGTTGAAGAAGTTTTCTCCTGTATAGAGATAAAGTTTCTCAACTCCTCTTCTTGACTGATCTGTGAACTAAATTACTGAATATCTTTCGAATTTCCGTATTTTAGCATTTTAGGGAAAGATTAAGGATGTTATTATGCAAACTTTATAATAGAACTTTCTGAATATTACCCCCTGGAAGTTCTTCGTCTCTTATCCTTATAAAGGAAGGATTACAGAGATATCACTGTCAAATGGCTTTTTCTGATTGGTGTTGTTATCATGCCAGCCCTCGCGAAGTTTGTATTTTAGTTGTAGTCCTTTTATATCTTTCAGTATGCCACCTCAAGAGTCATCTTTACTGCTAGGCTCTGGGTTCCAAGTATCATGCATCTCTAAGGCGAGCTTTGGAGTAAAGTCCTGACTCTCTGATGCTTCAGCTCGTTGGTTCTGGTCTTCTTTAATCTTATCGGGTATCTTAATATTATTCTTAATCTCTTCGTAAAGTCCTACTTTAGAACCCTCCTCACCAGATTGCCTAGCCATTTCATTTCTTTGTCCGCTATGATTTATCTTCGTTTCAGAAGGACCTTCTTTTGAAAGTTTAGAACCCTGGATCAAAGCTTTGAGAGTTGACCTCACTTGGCTTTGATCCTGATTAATTATCTTCAAAGGAACCATTTCCTTCGAAGAATTTCGTGGCCCTGGTTGGTGCTTCTTGAACATGCTTCCTCGGACCAAATTTTTACTTGTACTGAATTTACTTGGCTGCAGGACTCTCTCTGGTGGAGATTTCTGGGAAGACTCCTGACTTAGGCTTGCATTTATATGAGTCTCATTCAGACAACTCTGTTTCTTATTAGAGTCCATTACTTTCTTCAATACATTCTTACGCGGGTTTTTGCTCAAAATTATCAATTTTGAGTGCAACTGGGCTTGCGAGCCATAAGATAAGGAATGGTTCCGCTCTCGATTGATAATTTTCGCAATAAGTTTACTATTATTTTGGGTTAATTTGGTGTTTTCATTAGGATTTGGTGAACTAGTAGAGAATTCCACAGGAACATCACTTGTTTTATATGAGTCTTTTTGATGATTTCTTTTAGCTTTTCTCAAAAAGATATACCCCTTTGTCTTTAATTTATTTGCCTGGAGTGTTGTTCAGAGTCGAAGACCCCTTTTCGGCTCCTTTTAGACCTGAGAAGCTGGAGTTAGCACCATGGCCATCTTTTGAATGGAGTTTGAGAGTAAAATCCTTTGGACTCTTATTCAGTGTCTCTTGGAGTCTGTTATGGCTCCTATGTCTCTGTATCTGGAACAAGCTAAGAGAAGGATCTTTGCTCTTACGATCGCCCGAGGCTTGGAACACTGATTTCCTTCTAGATTTTCCTCGAGTATCCATATAATTTGCCTATATAAAATTAATGACTAGTAGAGGTATTTACTTACCCAAATTTTGTGCTGCATCTTCGTTTGGCGCTCGTCAATGTACTTATTGTTAAAATAATGCTTATTAAGAGTCTCATTAGTGTCAGTGTTCTGGGCTAGCTCAGAATTTCTTGCTACAAAAAGATCGCTTTTTGGCAAATTCCTTTCAAACTTGCCTGAATAATTATTTTAACATATTAAGACTCTGGGGAGCAGCTTTTGTTCATAATGTCTGCTCTGAGATTTTCCTGGGAATTTTTCTGAGACTGACCAAACTCGACCCTGGAGATCTGTTTGATTCCAACCCGAGTGTTTGATTATAGGATAGTTTAGAATTCTTCCTACAAGGGTTCAAAGAATTATCTCGCATACTGCACATTGATAATAGTAAATTATTATCTGAAATGTTTCAATTAGAATGAAATAGAAAGGGGTTTTGGGGTTTTGGGGTTTTGGGGTTTTGGGG